CAGTGAAACGATAAAACTATGGAAGAGCTCCGTGTCGTTTGATTCGCGACCCAACGACCGTTGAAATCGGTTTGGTAACCTCGTCATGTTGGCAAACCATATAAACCCTTATAATTCGATGCCATATTGTGTTGCTTGTGTGGTTCATAGAGAGAGCTTGGACTGCCTGTGGTTGTCTCTACCTTTAATATGGCGCCAACAAGTCAGTAGGATTTAACTCCACGTTCCCCGAAATTGTTCCGTTTCGGAAAGAGTGAATATTTCCCGACAACCAATCACTCGAGACGACAGTCTGGAAAAGTGGTTATTTTTAATAGCATTTTTTATTACGAGTTGAAAACTGAGTATTTTTCAGTTCCCAAGAAATCCTGAACTGTTTCGTGACCTGTAATTGGAGTAAATAATGGGAGAAATTTGTGCAGCTGAAGCCTACATTCATAGTACAGCTCAGGATACTTATGACCAATGCCTTAACTGATCGATAGCTCCCGTTCTTACAAGTAACGTCGCCGCTGAGGAAAAGTTAGCAAGAAGGTTTCATAGGAATATGTAACTCATTTGGAGAATGATTTTATAATTATAGTTACAGCCAGGTGATATAAAGACGAGTAGTTCCTTGCAACAACGCGAAACAAGAGAAAGGAGTAATCCTTCAATTAAACTCGCACCGTCAGTTTAGTACGACACGACAAAAGCGCGACAAAGTCCCACGAAGACAGATGTCAAACTGAACTCAACAACCTCAATGCAAAAAAATTTAATTTGGACGCCTACCTACCAGCGGAAAATTCCTTTGGAAATTGTAGACTAACTACAGAGGTAGTCATCTTTTCCGCTCGGATTAGCCGAGAGAAGAAATCGGAGGGAGCCCTCTCCGAATTTTTCTTTCGGAGAGCACGACTAAAACACAAGCTAGTTCGGAATGGAACAGCAAAAATGTCTTTTATACCATTTCATTTTTCTTCCACTCTGAACCAACATTGTTCGATATTCTAGTTCATTACTGCAGTTGCTGGCAACAGAAGATGCCACCAACATCTTTTTCTAGCCGAATCTCGGAAGTAATTTAGCCATGCTCGAAGCCTCTCTGTTTCGTTATCGTTTGCGATTCTTGTTTTCAATTTGTCCATTGCTGGGTTATTGCTCACTTAAAGTTATCGTTATTGCCATTATTTCCGTTTAAATTACTCATGTTTCAGTTTAGTGGGGGCGAATTATTTTAAGAAGTGTTTGTTCTTGTATGTTAAACCGACAAAATCATATTGTTTCGTTCATGTTTTATACCATTGCTGTATTAGTTTCAAATTGTCAAATTATCGAGGATAATGTGGTCACAGAATCCGACAAGTCCCTCGGCCAGAAGAAAAGGGCTTTTCTTCTTCTGTACTTAAATACGATAGTACATAAAAAAATACAGTTCAAAATTTGTACTCAAATTAAAGGTTTTTGACA